TGCCTTCATATCATCATCCATATAATATGGTTTATATTCGAATACTGCTTTGTCATATGTATCATCATCGTTCTCAACTGGGTTGTCCAATTCATCCAGAGCACCAACAAGTTGATTCAAACAATGTTCCACGAGTTTCCAATCGGCTGCCCCATCAGATTGTACGGCGGTAGATACACGAATGTTCAGTTTCTCRATGAGGGGCATTACCTCGGCCCATAACTTGTGGATGGGACTAGATTCTTTGTCACAAAGTGCACACAAATCTTGCACAATGAGGAGCAAATTCATCTTCTCTCGTCCATTCTTGAAATTGATCGTTTCCGTCTGGGCCTCGGCAGTACCATGATTGTTCTTATCCATAGATTTGATCGTGTTTGTAGCATCATACGCCTTTGATTTGTATTGTTCCTTAAAAAATTTAAAGATTTTCTTTCCTGGTGAACAAAGAGTTGACAATTGTTYGACAATTTTTCTAGCCTTAAATCGGTTCCTCTTCTTGTCCCCATTGTCGCTATCTTCATCACTGACTGAATCGGAGGCAACAGCATTGTCCTCCAAATATTTTGTGATCAAAGACTCAATGGTTGACATGCGTTCTGATGCCTCAGCGCAAAGCTGCTCACCTTCGGTACAGAGATGTTCAAAAGCCTTCACGTTTTCGGTGAGCCCAAGACAGGCCCAGCTAAGGAGAAGGGAATCRGATAAGAAGGCTTCATTCCACAGGGGTTTCATGGTGTCCCTGGTGACACTGGAAGAACGTAGTTGGTTGGGACTCGCCATAGCACAGCGGGTGGAGGTCTTGTATGGTGTCGACATTTGTTGATTGTAAATTGTGGCTGAACCAAATTATGGAAAAAAAACAGCAGAAACAATTTTGTYGATCTGACGCAARCAGAATAACATGGGCTGCTTGCACGAGGAAAAAGGACTGGAGACCTCCACKGTGGTGGTGGTGTGAGATGCACCGTCTCCAGTCACACCYACACGCAACTGATTAAAGTGATGGTGCAATAAAACGAGGTTTCTGTAAAAACTAGGACAACCAGGACCAAGCTAATGGTTTTCGATGAAACAAATTTTTCACAGGACCGGTTAACAACCGTAACATCTCGCTTGGAGTTTTTGACAGGACTGGTTAACCACCACCGCAATATCTCGCTACTAGGAATGGTAGKGGAAACAGCAACGTGTGTTTGACAGATGGGAAAGGAACGGAAGAAACTGATATTTAAAACGGGTGCCCGGCCGTTAAAGACAGACGTTGGAAAAATTGGGAGTGRTCTACAAATCTATGTATCCAAAAGCAATCACAACCATTCGCAACCAATCTCACTTGCATTATGACCAAACACAACCCGTCAGGTTTGCTATTGGAGGAAACGCGACCATCACAACAAAAATAGAAAGGGTTTGGCACGTGATTTTTTAAAAAGGGGGTGAGTATTCTCGAAAAAAACGTCGTGAGAGCGTGCGAGAGGGTGCGATCACTTTTTGTGACGTGTGTAAACTGTGTAATTCCACGTTGTTGCTTGTTGTCACTTGTTATTTCAGTCTACTAATAGTAGTAGTCCTAGGTGATTTTGTTATAATCACATTCTCAGGGACATCAAAATGTAATACTGCCCTCTCCTTCCATAGAAGTGTTTTGACTAGTATTTTAAGTCATCACTTTTGAGTCACCTTCTTTAACAAGGACCACCTATATCCATTCAACGTTCTCAGTATCTACTAGTAGTGCACATTGGTGAACAAATTGTCATCAATTCTGATAACTTCACACCAGTCCTGTTACCTACCTCATTCTTTGCTTTATTTTTTAAAATATCTCCACTGCTGTTGTGATTGATCATGACAGGTCCTTCAACATACACCAGTTTCTTACAAAGTATTTGAGGATCCATCCTTTAACAAGACCCAGTCCTACTTCCAACAATATTAGCATGTGATAGTAAGGTTGTAGTACTAGTTGAATTCTTTTTCAACCAGAGGGAGTCTCCTTCCCTTTCTGGTTTGAGTTTACTGAAGGTACCTCCTGTGAAGAGAATGGGAACTGAATTGCCTCAGAAATTATGTCATGGCTTGTTGGCAAAGACTAAGTGGAGATAGTTCTTGTCAAATTTTTCCTGSCGTTCTTCATTGCTAGCAAAGGATATCTCATCCACAATCATGAGAAGACAAGTCTCATTTCCAATGCATCATCCTGTGTATTAGTAGTAGCATTAGATTTGGCATGGTTTGGGCAGGGTGGTATCCTCAATGACGATACTATTCAATGCTGATGTTCCACACATGCTTACTACTATCACAGCAAGACTTCTGTATGAAAAGTTCATTTTTTGATGCTTTTCAAAGTGGCTAGTAGTACCAGTACTAGTAGATGCATTTTTTTGTTACTACTACTACTTGTTATTTTGAAAATTCAACATTGCACAGTGTCTGATGTCTTCCAAGCTTCCATTAGAAACTATAATGATTTTGATAGCTTCCACATCATTGGTCTCTTGATGAGGGACAATATTAAAAATCAACATGGAATTTGATACAAAATGCCTGTTGGCAGATTATTTGGATGCATCTTTTGGGTGAGATTTGGGCAGTTTTTGTCTGTAGCTGAGGAGGAACCAGCAATACTTGAACCTGCATCACAAAGTACAACTCCTGCAGTTGAATCTGGTGCTGGTACATACTACTAGTAGGGTGATATCATAAAGTACAACTGCATATGAATCCATTGTATTACTACTAGTACTCATATATCATGTTCATGTTGTCAGCAAAATCTGCATGGTGGAGCTCATCAAAGAAAGTAGGAGTAACACATTCTTCATCATTGGATGATTCCCATTATTCTAAAAATTCTAAATTTGATGGGCAGACTGACAGACCAAAAATTTAGAGCATGTGACTCTAGATTTAGCATATTTAGAAGTGTTCAAAGCGCCCAGTCCTAGATACTCTACTTTAAGAGTGAAACCAACAAATAAAATTTTGAGTCCATTGTAAGATTCAATAGAATAACTGTCAGAATCTAGTACACCCCTCTTTTTAGTCTCCTTGTTGAACTATTTGAGATTCCAAATTTCAAAAAAGACTTGCATTGAGCCAGCATTCCTCTCAGTCTGTCCATTGAAATTTTGATTCCCATTATTCTAGAAAGTCTAGATCCCTACAGAGAGCATCACCAATCTCTCAAAGGTTTCTTTGTAGCTTGTTCTGGAGAATCTTTTGCCACCCAACATAAAACTGCTAGTATTGATCCTTAGCACTTTTCAGGAGCCTTTGATGTTGACAGTGCTTCAATTTTCCTTGTATTGTAAATTCCTCTGGATTTTGGTAAAATTATGATGGTGTCTACTATGGGTCAGGAAAAATGATTTGTGATTCAATAATTTTCTCAAGATTAGAATTGTGCACTCCAATACTTTGTTCACAGTCAATTATTTCTGGGATACTGATTTGACTGTCATCAGTGTCATTGGGTCATTCCCGTTAATCTAGCCGTTAATCTAGAGGATCTACTTTTTGACAGACAGATAGTAGACAGACAGAAGGACAGACAGACCAAAAATAGACTACTATCTAGACCAAATTTTTTGATTGTCTGTCAAGGCTCAATTCACCCTTGACAGAAGATCTAAATCTAGTCTGGGATCCAAGACTGAAAATCTTTGTACAAATCCAAGAATTAAAATCTTATTAGTAGGTGTACTCAAAAAGCCTGGGCTCCCTCATTCAGTCTTGGTAGACATTTCAGTTGAAATTCCAAATTCCCTTACAAATAGTAGATAAGTGTCTTAAAAACTGTCAATTGAGACCCTATCTTTCACTGATTCCCCTTAAACTAAAAAATCTAAAGTACATTCTTCTTTACTAGACTTTTGATCATCTCGATTAACTGGAATACCAATTCCATTACTTCTACTACATACTTATGTCACCAGCACAACACCTGAACAGTTAGGGTAGTATAAAATGTGATAGGATAGTACTAGCACAAAGCATCAAACACCCTGGTCTTTTTGGTTTTGTATCAATATTAATATCATGTTCATTTAAGTTAATGGCAACAATTTATTATAGTGTTGGCAGAGAGATTCCAGCAGCTGTGTCATTCATACATTAGCAATGCTCAATATACATACATGTATATCAATAAATACCACTAGGACCCCCAACTCCACCACACCATTCAAAAGCTGTTAAAAATAGCTTTCGATTCATGTGCTTACCATACTTAAGTGCCCATTGGAGACAAAGATGTAGCTGTCCAAGTGAGTTGAACCTCTCTTAGTAATTTGACTTGTACTCAGGCTACATAATAAATTTAACCTTGTGAACTAGAAGAGGCACTGTCATGGTCAGAACTATCATGTCTCCTGACAACTATAAGGAAGAAGAATGCTCAAACTTGCTTGGAGGGGCAGTATCTCCCTCTGAGGAGGTTTTGTGGAGTGACAGCAGCAGGTTCTATGCATACTGACAAGCCAATTATGGCAGGGGCTGAACTCAGGGGACATAGCAGATGTTGGTTTACAGTTCGGGTGGATGAGAGATTGGTCATGATTATCTCCTGGCGCGCTGCCAAGCCAAAAGGCAACATAGTGGACAAGGAAACAGGTGAAATAGTCAGAAAAACTAAAAATAAAAAAGAAAGCCAAAAACAAAAATGCAACTCAACAAACCAACTTGGTCTTGGTGTACTAGTAGGTCCCTTTGTAGTTACTAATCATCATGGTGTGGATATGATGTTGCGGAGATAGAAGTGTCATGTTGAAATTTGTCTCTAGCTCCTTTGATGGGCTGCTTCACTGCTTGGTGATACATGTAGTACTTCAAGGAGTGTATTTCCACATAAAAGGAGGACAAGGTTTTTGTAGCAGATCTGACACACATCACCCTTCGTTGTCGTCAAAGCACTTCAGGTGGTACTACATTCGTTATTAACTTTTCAACTACGTACTGATATTGACTTGTTTCATATTGACTCATGCTTCTAAATAATGGTATACTATATATTTTCTGAAAAATTTCATTCTGCCTATTGGATGACAATCTCCTTGGTGGATGTCTCGGCAAAAAGACTGATGTCAACAGGTGGTCGGAGTTTACAGCATTCTTCAACAGCTTGGTGAACTCTGTGGTTTTCGAAGTCACTGATAAGCTCTTCGTTGACGGCGACACCATTGTCGACGGCAGTGTATGCAAGCTGATCCAAGATGTAGTCGAATCGAGGAGCCCACTTACGGGATCCGGTCTTAGCAGTGAAGGAGCAGTTATCGACCATGAAGGCAACTCCTCTGTAGTGCATGTAAGGGCACAAAGAGTCGACGGCTTCGATGACGGACTCGTTGACAACCTCGGAGTAAGGGTGGCCTTCTTCAAGGAGAACATCGATCTGGGCCATCATGGTGGCGACGTAGACACCAGCGGTGAAGGGGTTGAGAGGGATGTTTTCATCGTCACGGTCGGCACGGACCTTTTCACCAACAGTCCAGGTGTTGGTTCCATCGATCTTTCCGACAGGGTATCTGTCGAGACGGTCTCCGTGCATGATAACGGTTCGGATTTCGTTTCCGGAGCTGACCTCGTCGTAAATTTCTTGGAGGATTTCCTTCGCAGGCTTGTACGAGGCGGAGTAGGCGGTCTGGAAGATTTTCTTGTCTTCATCGCTGAGTCCGTCGTATACGGCCTTGATTCCCTGGGTGGAGATAATCTTCGTGATGTTTCCGGTGATGGATTCAGAGGAGTTCAAGAAGGCATCTTCAGCGGTCATACCCTGTCGTTGGTATCGTCGGTAAAGAGATTCGACAATTCCGTGAACAGCTCCGAGGAGAATTCCACGCTCTCCGTAGATATCGGAGCAGTATTCGGATCGAAGAGAAGTTTCGAACATGAAAGGGGAACCAACGGCAACACCCCATCCAAGAGCCAATTCGGTGGCCTTTCCGCTGACATTTTGGTGGACAGCGAAAGAGGAGTTGATTCCGGCTCCGTTGACTTCCTTACCCTGTTCGTAAAGACGACGGACAGAAGGTCCCATTCCCTTGGGGCATACAGCGATGACATCCATATCCTCGGGGAATTTCTCTCCAATAGAGTCGAGGTATCCCAAAAGGAATCCGTGACTGAGTCCCAAAGTAGCACCAGGCTTCATGGCGGCGAAGATTTCCTTGTACAATTTGGCTTGGGCGGCATCAGAAATCAACAACATAACCAAGTCGGAGTTCTTGATGACATCGTACATTTCCCCGAGGGTGCCTTCTTCCTCACTGAAACCAACATCCTTGGCTTCTTGGAAAGAAGAGGATCCCTCACGAAGACCGATGACAACCTTGGTATCGGCTCCGGCTTCTTTCAAAGAATCCATCATGTTCTGTGCCTGGGCAGGTGCTTGGGATCCCCAGCCAATGACACCAACCTGCTTGATTCCCTCGAACGCCTTAGGAAGGAGGGGGAAGAGATCACGTCCTCCCTTCACAATAGTCTCCTTGGTATCAGCGAAGTCAACCTCAGTGACTTCGAAGATATCGGAAGTGAATCTGTACAAGAAAGATAGAGGAAAAATCAATAGAGTGAGCAAGAACTTTTCAGCACCAGGCAATTTTCGACCAGGCGTCGGAGATCTCAGATGAAGAATCTTCAAACGACAAATTGTATTTTTTGCATAACTCAGAAGTGCAATATAAGATTCCGGATCGCGGGCTATTCCTCAAAGAAAGTCAGTAGAGGGAGCTGTTCTATCCTCATCGTTTTGCATAGATTTGGTTATTCGTAGTTTTCATCTGGGACTTGTGTTCAACTTCGTTTTGTGCTTCGTTGTACTGCACCACATTGACAGTCTGTAGCATCTTCGTCGAAACTTACCCATTGATGGCCGACGACGAAGGAGCCGCAACCTTGTTCACGACACCAGTGCGAGGGGCAAAGGCAGAGGCAGAAGCCAAGAAAAGGGCGGTGGCAGCGACAGTGAATTTCATTTTCGATTACTTTAGCTTAAAAGAATGGAAGTGACAGGTGAATCACAAAAGAACCCAAAAAAATCGTTTCTTGCTGGCGGGGAAATTGCGATTGTTGTGTGGCCCTCCGTCGTCGAAAGGTAGTTACAGTACGTTTTCGTGGAAGCCGGAAACAGAAGAAGGGAAATTACAGAAAATCTAGTCGAAAAATCTTCCCCGGTTTCTTTCTCTCAGCTTTGTTTTCTTCCATGCGCTTTCGCGAGGCAACCATCAGCAACGTGTCGTATTGCACGTCGTACTCCAGGTTTCATTTGTGCACCCATGTGGTGAGCGCAGAGCCGCATATTATCTGGCGACGACAGACGATGCAACTTCTCGAAACACGCGACGCACGGCGATGATTCTTGGAACGACTGAAATCGCCAAATTGTGGCTGAAAAATTCAAAACTCCGTTCATTACCGGTACCGTTACCTCGCAAGGACTACTCCAACATGGTGTCGTACCGTACGTAACGTAGGGACTCGTCTGGTTCCGTGGTACCGGTATGCTACCCGTACAAGTAGTTTGCGAATGTCAGAAGTTCGTACGTACTATTACGTAGCTATCCGTAGACTCGCACTATTACATTGAAGAATAGCAGATATTCTCATCTGGTGCCTATGTATGTACGTACGTACCGTACGGTAATATCAATGAAGTGATTTTGAGAGCATAATACCCTCCATGGAGCAGGGGTCATAAATTTAGACCCCTGCCATGGAGGAGGTACGGGTACGAGTACCGTACCTTAAATGCTTCTTTCTTCACCTGATTTCCACAGTACCAGGTAGTCTCTTTTTGCAAAAAGTAATGGAGCATTTTGATAGATGTTGGTTTTGTACAACTGAAGTATTAGCGAATGCCAATATTAATCTTGGTTCTGGCAAAAACGCAATGATTTTAGAGCTACTACTAGTAAAGTCCTGTCAAAGAGTGAAAAATGTGTACTGCTGCAAGAACAATCTTAATTGATATAATGCTAGTGCTGGTATTCTCAACCAAGTGTTCAAGTTCGAATAACTCATCATCTTTTCAAAAGATCTTGCTTGGTATCATACGGCAATTGCACTACTACGTGTTGTATCAATTTTTGAATTCATACAGTACCGCATAGCTAGTAATAGTGTGAGGAAGAAAATCTTTTCTTCGCATGAAAGTCGTCTATTTCTTTTCGGGTTTGGCCAACATCAAGGTCATTTCACCGACTTCTACTGCCAAATCTCCATCTGTGTAACCCTTTCCACTTGCCTTGACGATTCCAAATCTCAGGTTCATTTTCTTAATTTCAACTTCCATGACGAGCAAATCTCCAGGCACAACAGGTTTCTTCCACTTGACCCCATCAGCCGATCCGAAAAACCCGATGGTTCCTTCTTCGATTCCGTCTGCGGTGTTCAGAATGACTCCGGCCAATTGTGCCATAGCCTCGAGTTGCATGACACCAGGCATAACTGGTTGGCCAGGGAAATGTCCATTGAAAAAGTCTTCGTTTCTCGAGACTGCCTTGACACCAATGACTTTTTTGTTTGGTACCACGTCAACGACCTTGTCGATAAGTGCAAATGGATAACGGTGGGGAAGAATGCTGTCGACGTCAACGGAAGTAAAGTGGGTCTTCACATCACTCGTCAAAGCTGAGATGGCTTCAGCGCCCATAGTTTCTGGTTCGGCGACATCAGCTTCTTCGGCGAACAATCCGAACGATTTGCGTCCTGAGCGGGTTGATCCCGAGGTGAAGGCACCTGCACAGCTCAACGTTGTCAATAGAAATGCAACGACTTTCATGATGAATACTGATTAAAATACTTTTATGAACGACAGGTATTTAAAGTAATATGACGGCGAGGTTAACGATGATATTCTCCTCCAACTGCTCTCTGTGTCGTTTCATTTGGCGCGTATTGTAGTATGGTATCTCTGCGTGCGTACGTATCGTACATCCCGGGCCAACAACAAGATGAAGCATTATCTATTCTCTCAAAAATTTAAATTTTGCCAGTCCCACTGATCGGGAACATACGAGTACTACGTACCTACCGCTATATCATTTACTGGTATGTAACGTTACCTACTAATGTGATAAACTTCTTGTTGACTTGTTGATGTCTCGATGACGTCAGTTCCAAAAATCTATGCCACAAAATCTATGAGTCCAGTCACGAGTTAAACATTTCTACCACGGTTTCAATTCTTCATGGGTACAAGCTCGTACGGCACGAACCGAAGCCGGTGATGTATCTTGTCGAAAACAAAATCGTCGTGGCAAAATGCCTTTTTCATCGACGTCACACGGCAGTTCCTACTTTCTGCTCTACATTACGGTATGGTAGTCCTGGACATTGTGCTGTCTCCTCCCATCACCGAATTTCCAGCATTGCACTCTGCATCAAATACGAGTTTTACTACTTTTAGTTCTACCAACAAAACTAAGTAGTTCAAGTTGAGATATATTCTGATAATTCGGAAGAAAGAAGAAACATGAAGCTCTTTTCTAGAATTGCAATCCTTGGGCTAATCGCCCAGATGAGGGACACTGAGGCATTTGGTCTCGTGTCCAAACCCAATGCGCCAATTTTCACCGGATCGTCTACGAGCCTTAATGCCGGGTCCGAGGTGTTCATGCCCGCTCTTTCTTCCACCATGAAGGAGGGAAAGGTTGTTTCCTGGTTGAAATCCGAGGGAGACGAAATCGAAGCTGGTGAAGCAATCATGGTAGTTGAATCCGACAAAGCCGACATGGACGTTGAAGCCTTCGAAGATGGATATTTGGCAAAAATCATTGTTGACGAGGGAGAGATGGCCCCTGTCGGAGCTGCCGTTGCCTTGATCGCTGAGACCGAAGGCGAAATCGATGAAGTAGCGTCCGCAGGAGGTTCTGCACCAGTCGCTGCTGCAGAGGAGGCTGCACCAGCCGCCGAAGCTGCGTCTGCAGGTGGGTTGTCGTTGTCATGTTTTCGCTAATTTTACTTGTGTCGATCTTGTTTGTATGAACGGGAATCCACTGGGTATGGTTGCGATGTACCTTCAGTTTTCATCGAATATATGCGCAGCATCACATAAAATGTGACTTAGTATTCTCAAATTTTGTGCACGTATACACGTCAGAACAATGAAACGAGTGAGATCATACTTTTTGTTTCGTTTTTGAGTGTTTCTAACACAATGCATTCTCACTTTAAACACATCCACGAATTCACCCTCAATTGAAACTATGTTACCTAGGCGCCCCGGATTGCGAATTCAGTCAGATCGATATGCCTGCTCTCTCTTCCACGATGAAGGAGGGTAAGGTTGTTTCGTGGTTGAAGGCCGAAGGTGACTCCATTGAATCGGGTGAGGCAATCATGGTTGTTGAGAGTGACAAGGCAGATATGGATGTCGAGGCATTCGACGATGGATTCTTGGCCGCCATTATCACTGATGAGGGTGAAACTAGCTCCGTTGGCGCACCTGTAGCATTGATTGCCGCCGAGGAGGCTGATATCCCTGCCCTCAAGGCGTATGCCGCATCTTTGTCTGGTGCTCCTGCTGCAGCTGCTGCACCAGCTGTTGCGGCACCTGCCGCCCCCGCAGCCCCCAAGGCTTCGGCAGCTCCTGTTGCCCGTGCTCCTGGAGCCCGTGTAGTTGCCTCTCCTTTGGCCAAAAAGAAGGCAGAAGAAATCGGCCTCGATCTTAGTACCGTTGCCGGAACTGGTCCGGATGGAAGAATTACCGCAGCTGATGTCGAAAACGCTGCCAAGGGCGGTGCTCCTGCTGCTGCCAAGCCAGCCGCAGCCCCTGCTAAGCCTGTGTGGACTCCCGCTGCTGGTGTTATCGCTGCGACCCCCATGGCACGAGTTGCCGCTAAAAAGGCGAAGATCGACCTTGCAACTATTACAGGAACTGGGTCGCTTGGACGTGTCACAGTTGATGACGTGAAAATGGCGACCGGAGAAAAGAAGGCAGAACGCAAGAAGGCTCCTTCTGGAGAAGCTGCTGTTGAATTGCCAGATGGTTTTGTTCCTTTCTCTGGTATGCAGAAGGCTGTCAGTGGCAACATGGTTGCTACTTTAACTGTCCCATCCTTCCAAGTTAGCACAGACATTGAAATGACGGCATTCGAAGCCATGTACCAGAAGGTCAAGCCAGATGGTATTTCTGTTTCAGCGATGTTGGCCAAGGCTTGTGCTTTGGCAATCGAGAAACATCCTATTATCAATAGTGCCTACTCTGATCAAGACGGTGGTGGCATTTTGTACAAGGGAGATATCAACATTGCCATGGCAGTTGCTATTGACGGAGGACTCATTACTCCTACACTCATGTATGCTAACGAAAGACCTATCAAGGAAATCGCCGAAAACTGGAGGGAATTGGTAGGAAAGGCCAAGACTGGAACTCTTTCACCTGCTGAGTACACCACTGGTACATTCACAATCTCTAACATGGGAATGTTTGGGGTCACATCGTTTGGTTCTTTGCTTCCAGTTGGACAAGGAGGTATTTTGGCTGTTGGAGCGACACAAGATAAGGTCGTGCCAGACTCCCAAGCAATCATGGGAATGAAGAAGGCCCGACTAATGACTGTCACTTTGACAGCCGACCACAGACAAATCTATGGATCCGATGCTGCTCTCTTCCTCAAGACTCTGAAGAGTATTATGGAAAACGACGTTGCCAAGCTTGCGAAATAAGTCTTGACTAAACTAGAAACGTCTACAATTGCGGAACCAAGTGCACTAAAACAATCTAGTCACAAAAAATATCGCAGATACTAAGTGTGGTTGCTATTTCTAGTCATGTGCATTAGTAGTCTAGTTTATTGTATGCTCGTCGCATCGACGGTTTTATGCATCCATTCGTTCTGCGGGACAACAAAATCATCCACATCGATGATCCAAGTATGGGCTCGACTGCCGACAGGAAGCAAACAACGCTGAATGGAAGAGCGCATGGCATGGTCTATATCGAATTTATTCTCTCTCATTTTGAATAAAACATCACTGACAAGATCTGTCCTATTCTCCACAGAACTCTGAAATAAACCCTCCAGATACACTTCATACGTGCTACGATTGGGCCTCACAGTGGCAACACCTTCTCTAGCTAGCTCATGCATTTCTTCAAGAAGAGCATGAGCTCTCAAGATTGCTCGTGGATCATCGTCTTTGGATGCCCATGCGCGGATAGCTTCAGTATAGGAAGTGGTAGTGGGTAAAAAATCACCTGCACGGTAGTGCTCTTTCAGTAGCTCAAGGTAAATATCTACCTTGGCTAATTCAGCACCCCAGTCTTGTGCAAGCGTCGATATAATAAGATCGAACGTTCTTGAATTTGGTTTTACATGCAACTTACCAGAACTACTCAACTCCTCCATTCGTTTGAAAATGCCATCTACCCTCCACGCAGCCATAGGACTCCCAGAACGAAGCCAGGATTGAATGACGGCATTGAAAGTTTCAGTGTTTGGTTTCACAATATCGTTTCCCTCGGAATATGACAATTGCATCACTTGAAGGAGTTGCTCTGCCCTATTCGAATCTCCCCCCTGTGCTTCGATAAGAGCATTGTATACTTTTGTGTCCTTCAGATCATCCGAAGCAGACTGAAATATTGCATCTGTCATGATCTGCACATCATCGCGACCACTGTTTGCATAAGCACGAATCAAAGCAGCATAAACCCGGGAATCTATCCTGAAGGTCTGATCGCCCTCCATTTTTCGCTCATTGAGTTTCTTGAGATGACTCTGAATCTTATCAGGAGCATCTGGGTTGAGAGACGTGGACCAAGCACTAATCACAGTTAAATAGCCATCAAAATCAGGTCGAAGTCTCGTGTCTCCAGCATCATACAAGGATTGGGCTAACAAAAGCATATTTTCCATTCTGTCCGGGGCACTATTATCTTGTGAATTTGACCAGCAACGAAGAACCTTCTTGAATGTATCAAATGTGGGTTGCGAAGAAATGCCCGCCTCGTAAAGTTCTTGTTGCTTCAGTAAGACGCTTTCGGCGCGTCTTCCTGAGTCGACTTCAGCACTACCTGCTAGTGTATCGAGAACTCCATCAAGAAACTGTTTGACTGAAGATGAGTCACAACCTGTCAATAGCGAAGTTTCGAAAGTGTTCATCAGTCGGTAGAATTGAGAATCATTTGCCAATAATTTCATGTAGAGTTTTGTCACAAAGTCGTCTGCAATTTTTGACGAAAGGTTCTCATTTGCCGCCTCAATTATATCTAGAAAGCAAAAAGGATTTATTTTCAGCTCAGGCTGATCTCGAAAACATGCCAGCATATGATCTATGTTGATTTCGGCACGTCCTAGGGATTCGTTAGGATAGTAACCAATGACCCAAACTTTCGCGAGCGATGCATAAAGATTAGCAGCAGATGGATTTTTCTTGTGAGTGTGTTCATAGATATGTTCTACTTCCTTTTCCAGCTTCTTGATCAACTCAACTATTCGCTGTGTCTTGTGCTCCCTATCGTGGTTATTGTCGTATCTCCATGCCTTAATGGCATGCTCAAAGCCACCAACAGTGGTCTCAACCCTCCGTTCCCCTCTAGGTCGTTTGAAGTATTTGTTGACTAAGATTTCTTCAGCGGCTTCACCAGCTGTGATTGAACCTTCGGATATAGTTCCACGGAAAGAGCTGCAAATTTCCAAGGATTTTGCGAAGATTTGATTTCTAATCATGGGATTTTTGCCTCCTCCTTCGTTCGACATTGAAAAATCCAATAATTTTAAGAGTTTTGTCGGAACATCTATGATTGCCTTTGATTGGTCAAGTCCCTCATCAAAACAATACATAGGCAAAGTACTCCAAGCAGTGACCATCGTTGGTGATATTTCCAATTGCTCCATGGTCTTCAAGATATGATTTACTCGTTCTTCAACGAGTCGTGGTGCTAATGATGAATTAGTCCATGCTTGAATGGTGGCGTTGAATGGTATATCATTAATTGAGAACCTCATCCATTCTTGGGGCAGTTTTAATCGCCGGTTATATTCCTTTACTAAGAGATCGAGAACCAATTGGGCTCTGTGAGCAGTTGTGTAGCCACTTTCTTTTTTCCTTCTCCATGATGAAATTACGTTCACAAAGATTGGGCATGATGGAACTATTTGGGGGTTTCGTTTTCCGTTCTGCAACATTTCCCTCAAGATTTTTTCCGCTGTTTCAGAAGCTTCAGGCAAGTCACTCTTGGACCAGAGCGAAATGTATAAATAGTAAGCACTGGAGGTTGGTGTCAATCCTCTCGTCGATGTGAGATGCGTCCATAATCGTTGTGCCCGGGATTCAGTTCCAGGAAGCCTGGATTTCTCCCAAGCCGAAAGAACATTCGCAAAAATGGTGGCTCGTGGGGATGCCACTAAATCGGGATGGAGTTCGGATGTAACGATCATCTTTCGTAACCAATAATCCGCCCTTTCTGCAGCATTAGGTAAGTTACTTTTCGAGTACATTGTAATAATGGAACAGAAAGTCTCCGAGCTCGGCATCAATGCTGTTGTCGATTCTTGTTTGATACTCGCTATCGTTTGGTATTGATCGAGGGAAGTGCTCAAAAGTTTTTCCGCTATGGGAATCCAAGAGGATTGCATCTCCGTTGGAATCGTTTGACGAGACCAAGTATTCAGTATTTTGTTTGCTAGTGCCAGTTGCTCTACTGTCCAATCTTTGTCCGGAGATGAAGATTTTTCGACAAAGGCCCTGCTGCTTTCAATAAACTTTTTTGCATTTTCGTGATTTATGCTTTTGTGCTTCGAGTGACGTTGGTGTTGCCGCTTCCTAGATCCAGGGGATGTGGTATGATTTCGAGATGATTGTTCAATGTTGCCTTTACTTGTAATGCCTGAAAGAAAGCCGTATCGAAGAGGGACTGGACGGCGCAACTTTCCTTGTGACAGGCTTTGTTGAGCTAGTTTCCACATGGCGACTATTTGCATTATGATTATGTCAAAATAATTTTTCCTCTTCCCGTCGGCCCAAACGTTTTTTTGCTGCACCGGAAAACAGTTATCGATTCAGACAAAGGAGATTTAATACTTCCGCGTACTCCTTGTTTGATGAATGCCCCCCGGCTTTCTTTTGGAAGAACGAACGGCTTCTGCGACGGTAAAAGTGATATGATGGATAAAATGATGATGGCAGTTTCAATAGTCGAGCACTAGTTGAAGCTATTTCTTGTGATTTTGTGTGGTAAACATTAGAATCAAAGATACGACTCATACCCTTCATAGTATAGATGAATAGGCACGCAGTATTGGGTATCCGATATCCGAAATAATCGGAGTTTACTGCGGAGCCCATAAAAATGTATTGCTATTTAAGTGATAGTTTTGCACAGGGTGGAAAATCGGTATCTTCCCGTTTCTTGTCCACCAAGTGGAGGAAAGACAAGTATGTAAGCTCAATATCGACCCATCATGTTGAAAAGTCGGAAGACAAATGAGGAATTAAAGTGTCTTTTTGCCCCTTACGGGATCGCATCCCAATGTTCCAACAAACCAACTTTCTTCCATACCATTCTTCGAACAGAAAATAAACCGGAACCATAGAAAAATGCAGGAGATGTCGATCATCCTAAACTACAATTTGCACCATTCGGACGGAAGCATAATCATTTTGCAACCACAACGACTGCAAGCAGCGAATAGGCTTCACTTTGACAAAGTTATATAACATTCCTTCAATTCAGATGGCTCACTCTCGCAGCTTTACTAGTAGCCAGAATATCGATCATTTTTGTCGTCCTGATAATACGAGCCACCATAATAGTTGTCGCCACCGCCGTCGTATGGTTCGTCTTGATATTTATCGTAGTCGTCATACCGATCTCTGCCACCGCTATATCTATCGTTGTTTCCAGAGGACTGCTTCTTCTTGCCGCCAGCATTTCCTTTCAGCAACGGCCCGATCACCGGCATGTTCTTAAGGATCATCATCGCCATCGGAAACATGTTGCCAAACAAGTTGAGCAGACCGAATACCTCTAATATGATTCCGAATATCGGCCAACCGATAAATACGAGAAATATCCCTGCGAACAAACACCCCGTGGCTCGTGCCTTCTTTGGCTGAAAGAAATACCCCGCCGTCCTTCCCGGGCCGAGCGTCATGGGAACACCCGCCACAAAAAACAGATTCCCCAGTCGCATCAGCGTTTTATTGAAGAACAAGCTAGCGCCCAAGATGGTCAGCGCGCCTCCGATGGCTAGAAGCGGGAGGCCGATTTTTCGGTTGCCGGTACGGATGATGTCGGGCAGATTCGAAAAGGACGGACGGCCGAAGCGACTGCTTCTCTCGCTGTCGCCACGGTCGTCGTACTATTGTGCCATGCGATTGAATGGCCCATACATTTGGATCGAGTTTTGAAGTTCGACGATTCACCGCAATCAAGAGAAACATGAATCGAACAAAGTGAGTGACCAAAGCTCAGGATCGATTCTTGCGAATCTTTCTAACCCAAGAGTCTCGGAATGAGCCGTACGAGCAGGCAGGAACGTACCGAGGAGCCCCGATCATCGTAGCCATAATTATCATAGTAATCGTCGTTGTTTCCGCCGTATCCTCGATCGTCGTAGTAATCATCGCCCTGGTATCCTCCGCGACACAACGCCGTTGCTGACGCCAATAAGGATGTGTATGCTGCCACGATCTGCGCATCTCGTTCCGAGGAAAACGCAGAAGTATCCAGAGCTGACAATGGTGGCGGTGATGGTGGAGAGAGCGACGAAGACGTCGAAACTCTGCTCACGGTTTTTCTCGGAGCAAATGCCGTTCCACGACTTTTTGCGACGACCGACGTCGAGAAAAGGATGCAAAAGAGGGGGAGAAGTGTGCAAGATCGGATCATGGTATAGATCAACGGTAACTTCAAGTTCCTTGTTGTGTGTCGTCTGCTGGAACCTTCGACTTTGCTCCGAAAGGGGTATCAATGACAAATCCACTCGTCAAATGCGGCTGAAAAGAGTTCAGTCCTACTCGTCTCCGTCGACTTCGAATGAGATCGAAGTTGTGACCAACCTCTGTACGTACATACGGTAGTGCTGTACTGGACAGTAAGGTATCCAAGCCGAGTTTGAATTTGAAGACGATCATTTTTTCGTTTTTCGTTTACCTTATTTTCACTTCTACACGTGTTATTTTGTTCCAAATGAGAATACAGTAATACCAGTACATTGCTACGCTACAGCACAGTACGTTGCTACAGGTAGCAAGAAAATGGTCACCTTGGCTTGCTTTTCCTCCCTGCGGAGGTACGGTAGGTAGTAGGTAGGTGTCCCTAGTCGACTGAGTCGCAAATTTTTCATGGGACTCAAGAAAACCGAGAACGCGTACAGCAACTTAAGAAACTGAGAACGCTGGCGAAGCAAAGGAACTTAATGCAGGACGAGTACAATACGGTACTGTGCGTACCTCGCGTACGCACCGTAATGAAAACTTCTCAGTTTGATGCTACGAAACTCTTACTAAGAAACTACGTAATTCGTTCCGTTTCGAGGATGTCACGAACAAATTCTTTCCTCGAGGAATAGCTCTTGAGACAGTCTTATTCTTGGCATCTACTATCATGTTGCCATTAAACGTGTATTTCATTTGAAAGTTGCATGAGCAAGAATACAAGGAATGAAGCTTGATGAATCATAGAGACCCGTCCATTCTGAATGAATCAATACAAGACTGAAGGACTATGAACGTCGGTGGCGGCGAGAACACGGCTGGAACTGCAGGAGCTGGAGAGGCTCGCCGTTGCCTTTGCCACTATATAACGGAGGAAAACAACGGCAACGGTGTGTCATTTTCGAGGGGAGAAAGAGATACGACCTTGCGCTGTTCTGTATGCGTTCAGAATCTTTTGCGGTCCTCGGTGCAAAGGCATCGACAAGCCTTGCAGCAACACGCGATCGCCAAGAAAGAATGCGAGCGAGAGCTCGCCAGCATTCCTAGGAATCGCATCCCCGAGCTCCAAGCCGAGTCGCAGCGCTTGCGAGAAAAGTCTGCCGCGCTTCGGAAAGAATGCGGCGAAATGGCAGTGAAGATTGCGCACGTGGCGCTCGAAAACGATACCCTGCGAGAAACCATGGCCGTGGATTCCTCTCCACTAGAACGGCAGCGTCTCGACCTAGAACGCCTAGAGAACGGGCTGCTTGAGGGAAGTCTAGAACAAGCCATCGAGACAGCCACGAGACAGGTGCGCTTCCTGCGCTTTCAGTGGGCCCAGAAAGTCTTTGCGATGCACCGGCTGCAAATTGATCCCGACCACATCAAGCTAACGCCCCTGCAAAAACGACACCAGAAAACCAAACCCGGCCAACAGCTGCAACGAAGGGCGAGGGGCATCCCAAAAATCAGTGGACTGCCCCTGCCAAACGCAGGTCCGGAACTATACGGGTTCTTGCCCCCCCGGGAATTGCAAAGCGCGCTTCGAATCGTCGCTACGGTAACGAGCACGGTGGCCCGATGTCTCGGAATCGTGTTGCCACATCGTGTCTTGCTGACCTTCAACACGAGCGATTCTTCCGTGGGAGACATTGCCGACACCGTCACCGAGGACGACCTTCGAGAACGAAATGCAGCCCGCAGCCAAAAGCCACAGACCGGTTACCACCAAGGCGAGGACACTCCCCGCCACGACTCTTATTTTTCGAATTATCCAAACCAAGTACGCGGCACAAGCAACTCTGGTGGATATAGGACTGCTCAGCCCGTCGCGTCGTCTTCGACAGCATCGTTGTATTCCATGATGGACACATCTTATTTCTACAAAAAAGCAAAAAAGGCCTTGGCCAAGGCTACCGGGCAACGTCCAACCTCTACAGGTAGCAATAGCAACAATGCGAGAGGAAGACCGGGAACAGCGACGATCGAGAGATCGTTCGACGCAACGATCGTCGCTCAACGACTCAACCACGCCACAGCAGCAATTTTGAACGACGTCGATACAACCGCCGAAGCCGCAAACAACAAAAATTCATCGGCCTCTAAATTTGCGTTGTCGACGAAAGCTATGCACCAGGGAGACGATTTCGCGATTGCCCTGCAGCTATTGCAAAACAACGTTCTCACCTTGTGCATACGAGCGGGAGTCCCGGTTTCGAAGCTGTGGCCAGCGGAAGCAATGCTGCTGAACTTGCACGAACTAGACAAATTTTGCCAGCAACAGACGACCGTACAATTTTAAGAGCTCGTGACACGATTTACCACAATTCACTCGACTTCTATAAGGAAGTGCAATTAGACCCTATTGAGTTTCAAAAGTAGGAGGAATTTTTTAAACACTCACAATTAAAAGCAGCAATCGCATCATCACCAGTCGTCTATATCCTGTTGCACAATCTCTTTCATGGTTGCATCTCCGACTTCCAAGGCACCCTGTGGCTGGCCCCAAGCTAAAATCATGCCGTCTGCACTCCCTGACAACAACTTTCCGCCTGGTTCCATCGCTTCCAAGCTTGTTATGTTTGTCAAGTGACCTTTCAGCGTTTGTTTTGGTGTCCCTCCCTCGGTAGAAAATCCGTGTAGGACCCCCCTACGGCTGATCCAGATGGTGCTGCTTTTGTTACAGCTGTCCGTGTATCCCGATCCTTCTGCGATGATCGCCGTTCGTCGTTGGTTCGGTGACCCTGCCGATGACTTCCCTGGCGCTACAAACTTGCTTGGTAACAAGCATCCGCTGCGCAAATCCCACAACAAAAGTTCGCCGTCAAGCCCACTTACGCTACAGAGATAATGACCACTGCTGAAAAATGACAGACCGGAAACATGACCGGCACGATGGGATTTGGCCCCATTGTGTTGAACGTGGTCATAGTTATTGGGCGCTATGCCTGGTATTTGTTGTCGTCTCTGCTTGCGTGCCCATGTTGGTTCTCGTCGCAGATGAGAGTAATCCGAGGCATAGCCCACACTAGTCGATTCAGAGGACGACAACCCAAACGAATTCGCCGATGATGACACCTGTTCTCTATCTAGCACTGTGACACACGCCCGGCTTCCAGATTTGCGAATGTCCCAAAGCCTCACCGTTGAGTCGCGGGATCCCGATGCTACAACGTTGGGATTACTGCTCGACCACTTGAGTGCCGAAATCCCCTTCCCGTGACCCACTAATTGATGCGAGCAAGCCCCAGAACGTATATCGACCAATTTGATTTCCGATTCATACCAAGATCCTGCAGCAATCATGGAATGATCTCCGCCCGTGCGCAAATGTGCCGATACCCAACCTGTAGAGTTGTCTCGAAAGGGATGCACCCGCAAGACAGGTTTCATCTTGTGAGTGTCCCACACCAAGATCGTTCCGTCACTCGAACCCGAGAGGAACACTCCAGGGTCTGTAGGATACCACTGAGTGTATGTGATAGAAGCTGAGTGCCCTGCAGGGAGCTGGAGAACATCAGGGACTGCTGGAACTTTGATGGACTTGGCGACAGGGGAGTAGGAATACCTTTGACTATTGGCGTCGTCTTTGCTGATGCTTTCGCTCCGACCCCATTTTGAAACATCATATATAGTGATAGTTGCATCTGCTGAACCCGCCAGAAGAAATCTTCCTGTCAAGTCTACGGAAAGACTCGATATACTTTTTCGATGAGGTGAGACAATATCTGGATCTTGCAATAACTGCTTGACGTAGAAAAATCGAGACACGCCCCGTTCGAATTGTTCTCTTCCGCACAATCCATACTCTCTAGCAAGAGCAATATGGAATATCGACCGTCTTTTCCTTGCAATTCTATCCAGCGACGACATGCTAAGGCTTTTGACAAATTCTAGGCAATGGCGTTGGAAAAATCTGCCATTAAGATTAGACAACTTTTTGTTTGCGATGATTTGGTGCCTTCGGTGATCTCTTTCATTGAATAGGCTACCTCTCCAGTAGCTGTTCGACCCATTCTTTCGTTTGCAAAGCTTCGACTCAAACCATTGTGCTGGACTAAGTGTGACTGCTATGGATTGTTCCTCCTGTGCTTGAAACAGAACATGTTGTTGTTGCTGCTGTCGCAACGCTAATGATGGTCAAGTTTGTCTTCGGCAGCTGAAAAGAACCTGGTCATGTACAGTACGTACCGGTACGTAGCAGTAGTGCCTTGTATGTATGGTAGAAAGGACGGAGTGCGGCGGTACTGTAAGTGAATGAAGTTAGGACTGCACTTCGTACCGTACTTTACGGTAGAGAAAGGACTGTTCAGTTCTGTTTCTGCCAGTACGTTCGTACCGGGTACTGTACGGTAAAAGAAAAAAGAACATCGAACATTCCTTGCTCTACCATATGCTACCGAGGTACGGTTATTATGAATCCAGGTTCCTAGAAAGTCTGGTCTGGGATGTGTGTCGCATTCCGAGTCGAAAAACTGAATAATTTGGTCGTGAATGAGCCTGCCAGTCAGCTTTGAAATCATTGTAAAAAAATAACCGTTGCTCCTCACTCAAAAAACAAAGAAAAGCTATCAACAATGATCACAGAGCTCGTAACAACAAGAAAGCTTCTGGATTCATCGGAACTACTGTACCCGTACCGGTATATTGATACCAAAAGAACCATATCCAGGAACTCCCTAGCCATTATTACATTCTTGCTCTCCAGGTTCTTCCAAGGACATACTGGGCAAACAATCTGCAATATTGAGTCACAGCGATGAGAACACGCTGACAGTCATGTTTCAACGGGAAAACGATGTCGAAATGAAGCAACCTCCCGGAGGAAGAACTCCTTCGGGACTTCGACATTCGTGGCGCTTATGGCGATTGTGCTGCTGCCGATATGGATGGTATCCCCTTTTGGTGGCTCCAATAGTCACTGTTGGATGTATATTTTCGTTGTATTCTACGGCTGGCTGTGACTTTATCCGTGTGGATGTTGGTTTCACACCTTCCAACACGGGTTGGAATAGCAGCACGTTAGATCTCGGACTATTTCTCTACCAAAGCGGAGAAGAAGAAACAAACAAATACTATGCTGCCTTTCTTGATGGTTGCCGGCTGTATACTGATGACTTTTCGGAAGAATTTATTGAGGACGATCGAACGTGGAGGGTAGCGCAAATTATGGGATTCGTTTCTGCTGGCGGGGGTGTCATTGCGACGGTATGTGCGAAATTTCAAGCTTGCATGGCTTTCATGGTGATTGATTGAGATTGTGTACACAGATGCACGCGTATCTGTACGTCTAAAACTTTCATTTTTCCTCCTTGAATTTCTATGGATACAGATCTTTACGTGGCTATTTGTTGTTTCACCTCTGCCGGCCCGATTCTTTTGGCCTGTAGTCGTCCTTCCTGCTCTAGTTGCATCATTTTTGGCAGAAGCTTCAAAATTTTTGGTCTATGACACGTCGATGTGTAGAAAGAATGTTTGGTTTCCACCTGGAACAGAATCGTTGCCACGAACAGCCGAGTGTTCTCTTGGAGCGACGGCCATATATGGGATTGCCAGTGGCATTATATATTTAGTTTGTTTGATACTTGTCTGTCTCAAGGCGCCAAACAAGCGTGATCTTGTTCCGAATTATGGAATGGATGCGGAAAATGGTCTTGTTCACCTTCCTCCTCAAGGTTCCTATTATGGAAGCAAGCGTTCAGGTAGACCTATAAACAGTACCGAGTTTGAAACAGCTACTGATCGAGATCGTTATTCATATCCCAACAGAGTAGAACCTGATGCGCCCGAACTTTATGTATTCGAGGAAGACGTTGAATCTGGTGTGACAAGCATTAATTCTCGAGGATACGATTCTGGATTTGAATCATCAATTATGGGTAAAAGTAACGCCCAAAGGGAGATCAATGACGAGGAAGACGATCTGTTATCACAACAAAGATCACAGAACAACTATGTAGGGGATGGCGATAGTGTAGGAAAGCTCAGTATGGGCAAGCCACCGACGACCGATGTCACCATAGTGAGAAATAGAAGCGGTGGTAAGCCTGTATTGGTATCAAGGAGTCGTTTAGAAACTGTAGAAAGGATGGAAAAAAATGCGAACAACTCCTCAGAAACTACGGCTCAAATGATTGACGACTTACTCACTGATCTCGACAAATCCTTCAATGACGATAGCTACAAGCAATAGACGCCAGGATAGCTATTTAGACTTCATGTGCTACAACAAAACGCTAAACTGTTGTACCTGTAACATGAAACAAAGCTCTTTCAACAAGGAACAAAATCAATAGCTTCATTTTATTCCTCGTACAAACATGCATCGAGATGCATCAAAATTTTTACTGCTTCATCGCGGGTACATCAGGAAGTTAAAAGTGTCAACAAGAGGAGGTTCGACGACGGTCTGAAATTGCTGACCCGATGAGACATAGTCTACAACAGAGTCATATATATAATATTGTAGAGACAGATACAATCAATCATTTGATAGCTTTGTCCTCTGGTGCGATAGTCATCGTTTCGAGGTAGGTAAAGTAGAGCGTTCTTACTACCTAGCGAAGAGCAATTTCTAAACGGTAATTAGAACCTCAATCCTTCTTTTGATACTTTCGTTTCGAAAACGCCATAAACAAGGCAATGAGACCGTATCCATAAACCTGCAAGCAAGCGAGTCCGAATCGGCTGCTCTGAGTATCGCATTTATCTCCCATAAATAAAACCGCAGCGCTGTAAAAAATCCCGGTGAAGAACTGCCCGATTTGAGCTTTGGTAAGATATCTGGCTGACCTGATTTGCGTCGCTGGTGAAATGGTCTTGATCAAAAAGTAGGTGTACATCAAAGTGTGAATAATAGAATTCAGCAGAACCACTGCCTTCAGCCAAGAGGATTGACTGAGCACACCGACCCACATACAGAAGGCTATACCCGTATGGTGATACACTGTATTGAATTGGATCGTGACAAGTCGTGTGAGATATATTCAATCAATAAAACCCCAAAATGTTCACACCATAATATTGGAATGCCGCCAAATTCATCTCTCACCTTGCAGAAAACTTGGTTTCTTCCCCTTCAGGACCAAGATCCACGTGTCTACGAATTCCCAGTATTTACTTATATAAAAAATAAGAGCCCATGGTCCAAAGCCAGAACCATTTTTATCCCACAGCCTTCCTTCTGGATCGCAATACGTATCGAATGCCCCATAGCTGTTTTTGACACGAAGGAAGCAGTAGGTTAGTGTTCAAATTCATTTTCAACGTTGCCCAAATTTTTAAATTGCTTTCCGTTTGAGTGAACACATATTATTCCAAACTACAACACCGTCGGTCATCGGGTAGGAAGAAGATGACAGATACTATGCCCCGGTTTCTTACGTACCGCTGATAATGGTCGATGACAATGGGCCAAGAATTGATTACAACCACCAGCGAGAAGACTGCTAGCAAAAAATTGTGCTCTGCTATCGAAACAATGAACCAGGTAGCTTTCGGATCGACCAGCTTGGCGATTTGTTGAAACAACGGTTTCGATACCAGATAGAATGCGAGCATGGCAAAGACAGATCCGGGGTGCAGCACGAGCTGCAGAATCCAATTCTCGGGTACTCGATCATACGGAAAACCAAGGAACAGGTCACTGATTTTTGTAGCCAAGGGAAGGCCGTCGGTGCTTTCTCTCAAGTCGGGAATCCATATTCCAATCATGATGTGATGGGTTGTTTGAGAGTGTCTCGTCTATTGTTCTTGTTCACGATCTCGACAGAACATATTATTGTGTGCCGGAGTACTGTATTACAGGGACAGTACCGGTAGTTCCGAACGTGACATTTGAAGCAAATTCGATCTGTGATGGCGACGAGAGATGGATGGCACTGTTTTGGGCGAGGCTCTTGTTATTGTAAAACGTACAACATCAGCTAACACGTACTACTAGTAACTTGGTATGGTATTAGAGTACATAATAGTGTTGGATGTTCATGCATCATTTTTTCGCCATAAAAAATCGTATCGTACTAGGTCCCTGTTGTACGAGTAGTATGTACTGCCCGGATGTACTATCCGTACCAGTACATCACAGAAACTCCATGCAGAGTCAGTCTGCCTGTCGATCGACAATTTCAGATCTCATACCACAGAAAAGAAACGGAGAAAAGTGAAGCTGGTCGCACTATCGAGTCTCGAAAACGAGCATCGACGAGTCGTCCTCGTAAGAAAACGAACGGAAAGTATTATGTTTTCGAGCCGATCGTCTGCTACTGTATTACAGTATTTAACAYTGTTTGTATCGAGATAACGGCGCTGCGGTTCTCATCCTCCGCGAAATTCAGTCGAAACCAGCAATCACAGCCATTCACTGAGTCGCTATCACAATCATACTCTGCATTACATTGGGATTCGAATATCAATTACACGAACCGGATAGGAACTTATTCTCGGTTCTGGACACAACTTTCATTAGTTCGAGAAAGAAACAAAAGCGTTGTTCAGTTGTAAGAGATACATAATTACATCGACATGGCGAAGGAGGAAGCTGCCGACGACGGCAACGGCAACCACGCCCGATCTGGCTCTTGCGTCGAAGATATTCTTGCCGAGCTCATGACTGCATTAGCTACAGGTGCACGCGCTGTTCAGGGCTTACCACTCGGAGACGATTTCGATTACCAATCTTCGTTTCCCGAGTTCCGGCAATTGCTAGATGATTCACAAGAATCTCTCTTGGAAGCATTGCTGATGTCTTTGGACGACGCGTCCTCGTGTCTGAGCTTGGATAAGAATGGCAATCACTACCACATAGATTTCGAGAACCTCGACGATCCGTTGCTTTGGGAAACGTGCACGGATCTTTGTGATGCCCTGTTGGAGCAGGCAGAACTTTCGACCGCCTCGAACGAGTCTGCATCCAAGGAACAGGGTCTCGCTAGAGGATTGGAAACGGCGAGGAATCGTGCCCAAAGCTCATTTGGAAGACTTCTCGAAGGAATTGTAGACATGGAAAAACCTCAGGTCGTGAACAAATTTGGCCCTTTTAGTCCAAATCTTAACAGCAACGACGATGAATATACTATGGGCATTGATAACGATAACGATATTCCGACTGGCAACAGCAACGGACGCACCGACATATTTGTGCCACCCTTTTTAGCAAAGAAACACTTTTTCAAGAAGCCGTTGTTGGCATTGGACGATCCCGAATGGCGACGACCGGGACACGGGGTGGAAACGAAACTCGGTGAAATGAAGCCAGTACGAGTGTCACCGAATGTCATTGCTCCGTCTCATCATTATCAGCATCCATATTTGGAAGAATTGAAATCCATAGATTATCCCGAATGGCAATTTGAGACAACGGCGGAAAGGCCGCAGAAAATACTCAAGGACGATGGTCCTCTTAGTGGAAACGCCACGATGATTGATACACAAGAGGGACTAAAAGAGCTAAAGACACTTCTCGAAAGCGACGAATTTCAACTTCGAGAAATCGCAATTGATTTGGAAGCTCATTCTTACCGAAGTTTCTCTGGTATGATTTGCTTGATCCAAATTAGTATCAAGGGCGGAAGAGACTTCTTGATCGATCCTTTTCCCGTCTGGAATCACATTCATAACACACTGGCACCAACTCTTGCCAATCCTAACATCGTCAAGGTATTTCACGGAGCTGATTCAGACATTGCCTGGCTTCAACGGGATTTTGGACTCTATGTTGTAAATTTGTTCGACACGGGACGTGCTGCCCGTGCCTTGAAATTTCCTTCTGCGGGTTTCGCTTATTTGTTGGAACACTACGTTGAGGGAGCCAAAGCCGACAAGTCGCACCAGTTGTCAGATTGGAGGCAGCGCCCATTGCCGTCGGCTATGAAGGAGTACGCAATCATGGACACGCACTACTTGCTTGACATTTACAACGCCATGAAATACGATCTTCTTCATGACAAAAATACATCCATCGAAAAAGTATTGGAAGAATCTCGTAAGGTCTGTACCATCCGATACACTCCTGAAGTCTTCCGTCCAGATGGATATCGTTCACTCACACAGCGCAGGGGGCATAAGACACAACTAAATTCTCGTCAGGACGATGTACTGCGAGAGCTATGGGATTGGAGGGATCAATTGGCGCGGGAAAACGATGAATCGAATACATTTATTTGTACAAATACCCAGTTAATGAGAGTTGCCATGGCATGTCCAGTCAACCTCTCAACCCTGCAAGGTTTGCTGCAGCCGATGCCGCCTCTACTTCTACGAAATTCAAAGGAAGTGTTGGGAATCATTCAGAACTGCTTGAATTCCCACCAGCAGCAGCGAAAGCAAGAACACCCTTCGTCTTCTGCTTATTTCAAACCCGCAAATCCGGAAAACGACAACATGGACGAAAACGAAACTCCTCGCCGTCCTTCTCCCCGATCGCTTATGAGCCCCGTCCTAGGAACTGAAGCTTTGTACCGCGAGGCCGGATGGATTTCACCGGCACATGAATTGGGGGATAAAGAAGACGGGGAAGATGGAATCGTGGAAGACATCGTCACAACGTCGGCCACTGAAAACGAAAGCGACGTCGACGGAGAGGAGTTGAAAGGAGATCCACGAGGAGACGAAAATTCTAATAAAGAAAAGTCCAAGAGAAAGCCACGAAGAGGCTTAGTAGTTCACGAAGCTAACGAAAAATTCCAGTCAAGACAATTCACTCTACACAGTTTGCAGATGGGTGGCAACGACGCATCAACTGATACCTCTACCTCTAAGAAAGCTCAAAATACCATCAAGACGAGGGAGGTAATTGATGGCTTCGGTTCCGCAAGGGTGACTCATCTCACGCCAGAAGATATGGAAGAAGCGATTGAGTTGGCCAAGAACAGCGCCGACCGGATTCGAACATCACAAGAAACCTGCGGAATTTTAGGGTTGATCTCATCCAGTGCAGACCTCCGTGACGATGAAGATGATAGCACAGATTTGGCCGGAAACGATGACAATCAAGTTGGAGAGAGAGGGAAGCCGACCGAACAGGAAGAATTTGTCATCCCAAGATCAATGCGAGAAATTTATCGTATTTCCAATCGTAATCGACGAAACAAAAAATCTTCCAGCCCTCTTCCCCAAGAACACGACGAGGAAGAGTTGAAAGAGCTCGAAAAGGCTGAGTCCATCCTAAAAACTCGATCTTCCGAAGGCAAGAATTACATTGAAATGATTCCGAGTAGTCCCAAAAGGCAAAGAACGAAGTCTTCAGGTGCTGCTTCTCTGTCATCGTCTGAGGATGCAATAGGTCAAGACTCAGGAAGCTTAACAAGGGACGACGACATCGCGCTAATGCAAGAAGTGGGATGGGTTGAGGGGAAGGAAGAGATCGATAGCATGCTAAAGCAAAGGCGTGACGCTGATGGAGATTACGACGAATCGAGCGAGGATGGTGGGAAACAAGGAGAAACTCCAAAACCTTTTGATTATTCGAACGTGGGTGCTATTGGTGCATTCAACCCGACACCTTCAGCCAATCCATTCTTTTCTGGAGCGGCGTTGACTGGTGGTCATCTCAGTCAGCAAGCAAGCAAGGCAGACAAAAAGAAAACGTCCACAATTATCAACAGAGGAGGGAAACAAGCTCGACGGCAAGCGGAGCGCCCTGATAAACGAGGGGCTCGATCACAAGCGTACAAGAAAGGATAAACTAGAGAATTATATCATGGATCGAATCAACAAATTAATGCCTCGCTATCTTGTTAATCCTTTTTTCAGTTTAGATTTTTCTTACCGAAACTAATTGAATTGGCTCTACTGGTTGTTCCGAAAGTGTCTCGACTGCTTCGATCTTTTTCACAATATCATATCCTTCAATTATTTTACCGAATACAGGATGAGCACTGTCAGACGACGAATTCCACCAATCAAGGTGCTTGTTGTCATTGACATTGATGAATACCTGGCTGCCACCTGTTTCAGGGTCGCCAGAATTCGCCATGCTCAATGTACCTTCCTCGTTCGATATTCCTTTGACAATTTCATCTTCAATGTTTCCATACTCATCTCGTGTGTGCTCCTTACCATTGCATGACTTATAGGATGTATCTGGTGGTCCAGACCCCTTGCCCGCGTCGTCATCAAGAGTACCGTAATATACGTGGGGATTCAGTGCATATGGACATCCAAACTGGACACAGAACTGAGGGGTAATCCGATGGATATAAAGCCCATCATAAAATTTTCTTTCAATTAAATCCAGAAAGTTGCCACTTGATGATTTTTTCATCCAGAGAATGGAGTCTTTGGTGAGAGTTAAACTTCGATTCTCGAAAGACCACGTGATTTCCGAACTTACCATGTAATCGGCATTTTCTCCGTAAATAACTCAGCCTTGAAGTTTCCCTCCGTTGTTTCAAACTCTACGATTGTCGCCATGGTGACCGAAATTGGAATGCTTTTGAGAAGAAAAAAGGAAGACTCTGGTAACTCTCAATTAACTCTGGTTCCAATTATTCGGGGTCAGTCTCAGTTATGCTAATAGTGCGAGTACCAGCACCTTTCGTAATGTGTTCACAACAAATGTATCCCAAAATGTAAAAAATCATATGGAAGGATAGAACATCGAAAAAAAAGTTGGTGGGAATTTTGAAAACTGGCATTATTGTGGGGCATAAATATTAATGATGACCATGGTGCGAAATAACACGAGACAGCTTTTTAACAGTACAAAATCTACATAGCTCTACGTGCAGAATGATAGTCTTAATTTACACCCTACACCTCAAGCTGTCACTTAGTTCCACCTGGAACCCAAAAGGAACTATTGAAGTTGAGGTGATTCCTATTTTGGAGCACTTCTGACCTGTTTTTTGCTCGCTTTTTGAGAATTCCAATCGGTGAAATGAAATTGGTTTCCAGACAGCACAACTGCTAGTACTACTAGTACTATTAACATGGAATAAAATTGAAATTGAAATCAATCTCAAGAACAGATTTCTCTTAGGCTGCATATGCACTCACTAAGGCTACTGCTGGAACTGTTTTGAGAATTGAAATTGGCGAAATGAAATCAATAAAGCTGCTCAAAGATTCTGCTGTTTTTGCAGCCTTCTTCACTGCCTCGTCAGAGTGCTTAATCTCATCCAATTGTCTGTTTCTTTCTTTGGCAATAAAATAGTCCTTTGTGTTCAATGTATCACCACCAGTTGTGATAAAGTGCTGGCTAGAATATTTAATGCCTGTAATTGCATCTTGCTGAGCCCTGTTATTTGGTTCTGTCACTTGTTGCACAAACTGTACCCTCTTTCAAGAAGGTGCATATTTACAAAAAACTTTGTCATTGAAACCAGCATCATTCAAAACTTTAATTGCTGCAGTATTTCTCTTCTTGTGTGCAACCAGTGCAGCTGTCTTTGGATCTGTGGTCAAATCAATCAATCCATCTAGTAGCAACACAATCAGCTCGTGTTAAACTTTCTTTTTGTCCTAATCAGACTGCCAAAGATTATCATTTTACATTTGACTGTGGTGTGCAGTGATTATTTTGGTATAGGGTTTTGAAGTATCCATAATTGCAATCAGTCGGCTGTGTAACATGGGTTGTATTTGGTACACCAGGATGAAGACGAAAACCACAAGCTGCAAGGCTTGCCAATAATGCTTTGTTGTTTCTTGTTCTGGGCCCACTGTCAACAATCAACATTATTTGCTTGCCTGGCAAATCTGCAGCATCTGGATAAAGTTTAACAATTGAATCCAAAACGTACTTTTCATACTTTTCACCATCCATTCCTGCATTCACGTTGCAATTGACCATAGCTCCAGTGCTGGTGATACAATCACCACTTTATAGTATGCCCTTTGTGTTTTGAACACTGTTGACAAACAATTCTAGGATTTGCTTCTTCTCCTCTTTGGTGACCATTTGATTTCAATTGGAAGAAGTGCAGTGGTAGAGGATAACCAGCAGCATTGTTACCAGCAACCAAAGTGATTTGTGATATGCTTGTGTTCTTTGTCCTGTCAGCACCGCATCCAATAGCTTCATCTATTGATCCATAAGCCGTAGAAGGCCGTCCTCCAGTCTGGCTTCCATTCCCATCAAGTGTTAGGCCAGACTCATCCAGATTGATTGTCCAGTTAAGTTGACCAGCAAAAAAACAAGCTCACCTTCATGGATTTCATCATCTTGCTTCAGTCTGACAAAGCCTTTTGCAACAAGTGCAAGTTCATGTTTCAGTTTACTAAACCACATGCTAATATTATTATACTATGTAGTCCACTTGAGTCATACCACTTGAGTCATCTTCCCTCAATTTTATTACCATTCTTTGTATCCTTGAAGTGCTCAGAAAATGTTGGAAGCAACCTTTGGTAAAGGTTTACAAAATCATTTAGCAAACATGGGCTGGGCACTAAGCAAGTCTTCAACATTGCAATGTAACCTTTCTGGCAAGGAATATTTTCCTTTTCCTTGCAAGCCAAAGCATGGTGGAAAGATGATATGGTGTCTCCCAGTGCAACTATAATAGACTGTGGAAGCAAACTTTTACGTCCCTTTCCAGGAGCCCCAAGGTTGTCCTTCAAGTGCTCTTGCACTGTGATTGCCTTCAGCAATATGTTGTACAGTAAATTAACCTGAGATACAATACTGATGACAGAGGACTGGCAGTTTGGCAGAAAATTTTCTTGCTTATACCTGACTTTCTTTGCAATAGCATTGTAAGCATCTTCTTGAGCCCATATCTGTAAAAACTTGTTCACTGTCTTGATATGAGCTTCTTTAGGAGTATCTGGACTCTCTTTTAGAAGAACTGGTGCAAGGGCTCCCTTCTTTGGACTGCTGTCATCCTTGGTCTTTGCTGGTGCTGCTGTTTGATTGGTGAGAACTGATATTTTTGCTTCCAACTCCTCCACCTTTAGGCCTGGTAGGTTTGCAAGTACTTCCAACTTAATTCAGGCCACTTCTGTAGAGGATGTCAAAGCTGATAATTCTGGTTCCTTCTTAGAGGACATAGAACATTCAAGATAATTTGGGGGCCCTTCACTATCCTTTCCATGCACCTTTGTACTCTTCTTTGTAAGGCTTTCTTGTTGTTTGCCTCGTCTTCACTGAACTGAGCAAATAACATTGCTCTCTTCACAGAACACTGGAGGCCTCTGGACCTTGAACCAAACAAGTTCTCAGCAGCAAGGGTTGTTCTTTCACATGCCCCAACTGCACAACCTATTTTTACTGATCCAACTGCAATTGTCTCCATTACTGCTGCTGGTGCCAACTTCTTCTTTGTCATTGTTGTTGTTGTTCCTTTTCCCTTCCTGTTCTTTATTGCAAATTGCCAACTCCACCATACATTTCCACACATCATCCCTTGATAAGCAATTGAATCAATAGTCCGGCTGGTGATGGGAGTGGTGCTCTGGGGGGTGCAGGCTTGCTGCTGCTG